AAGAAGTGCTATTTAAGCGAAAGTTATTTTTAGAACGTGTCTGCCTATTCAAGGCCACATTGCATCGTACTTTATTAGCGATTTGATTCCGTAGCATTGAGTGCTTCTAGTCATTGGTTCGTCTCGCCGATCTACAAACCAGAGCCTTTGCTGCTTGTTAAATTATTCTGTGAGCCGTTAGGTTAATCTACCACTTTTTGAAGTAGTTCAGCATTACGGGTTTATGTTAAGCCAGAAGTGCTTGCCTTGTGTAAACCCAAGTTGAGTCATTGTTAACTCTTTGTGTTCAAATAAGGAAGTACAAGGAAGTTCTTAAGTGAAAATATGTCGGCTAAAATTCCATAAGCGGGTAAGTTAGCGCCAAACTATTTTGGCCTTCAAAATTTGACGAATGTTTTAGGCGGCAATGAAAGCACTAAAATGTGATTTTTAAACGTCAACAGAATAGTAACTTTTAAGTTTTCCAGTAGTGAAACGCCGTTATTTTATGTAAACAGAATAGTAAAATGAAATGATAAAATACTAGATGAGTAAAACAAAGTCCAACAGCTTTGCAAGTAAAAGCATAGTCCTATATATATGTAATTCATCATAAAATAGTAGAATTAGCTATTCTTGTAAATAATTATTAAGTAAATAAATGTATATAAACTTATCAGATCAGAGCACTGCGAAGTCAGTTTTAAACGTAAACAGAATAGCAAATTATGCGTATTCAGCATCATAAACTAACTAAAAATGTTCAAGTTACTATCGTCGTGGAATTCAACACACTAAACAACTTTCGTTCAAAGCTTTAAATATTCCACATCTTTCGATTGCCACATGCAAGAAACAAAACTAAAAAAAAAATGTTAACTAAATAAAATTAAATGAAAACATTCATAAATTATAACCTTCGTGTCATATGAAATCCAACATTCTCCCACCAATAACAGCTTAACCTTCTGCAAATATTTATATAAATAAAATATTAAACATATATATAACAACAATATTAAACAGCAAAACTTTTAAAAACGCAATTTTCAAAATTAAATTTAAAAAATTCTCTATCTGGCTACACTAAATTCGCGCTTTTACAGTTACCGAAATAAAGCTCTAGGTTTGCCACAAGAAAACATACAGCAGGAAACCACAACCAAATTAAAATCTCGCCAAATAAAAAATTCTCGCCAAGCTTGGCGCTCACCCCGATTATGGAATTTTAACCAATATGTCGATGTGTACATGAATAAAGGGAGTGCGAAATGCCATTTTTGTGCAATTCTGGGATGCTTTTTTTAAGTGAAAATAGGTCGATGTGTACATGGATACCGAGTATCTGCAATTCTTAAAAATACGCCAAGCTGTGGGCGATTCTGCACTTTTCCCTATACTTTTGCAATAATGAGCCATAAACCATATAATTTTTTTCTTAGATGGTAAAAGGTAGATTCTTTCATAAATTTCGAAGTTCTTTCACAAAACATTGCACTTATTTACTCTATAGAAGAACAGACTTACTACTTCTATATATGAAGCAGATGATTTGTACCGAGTTAAAAAAAATAATACTAAATGATACTATACATCGGCCTACCGTTATTACATTGACGTTGATTGTAGTCATAAGAAATACATCGACGTTGGGCTAAATCGCAGAATAGGCCGCATCAGTCGATGCTGTGTTTACTTCTCTTATGCTTGGACACGCCTTTTTATGACGTAATATTGGTTACGCCTCTCCTTAAAAACAAGTTATAAGTATACTATAGCTTCGTATTTAAAGAAAACTTAAATGAAGTTTTAACTGAGTTGAAATGGTAGGTTTATAATGTTCTGCGCGAGATGTTTTTAATTATAAATCTACTTTTGTGTGGTGTGTGGTAGTGTTAGCATTTAATGCAACGAATTATCTCTGACAAATGTATTATTAAGATATCAACGATTGAAAACGATCATTACCAAACGATTGAAAATATTGAATGCATGAGTTAAAAATTATAACAGTTACTTCTGAAAATACAGAAAAGAATTCTTTTGCTTAAAGAATGTTTTGATTATTGATGAGTGTGTCAAAATCAGTGCTTACTGCAGAATGGATGAGTATCAGAATCTGGATTTTTTTAATCAGTTGGAGCGAAGAGGCAAAAAGAGCGTTATTGAGTGGTGTATATAGAAAAGTTTGATTGCAATATCGTATAAGTGCCCAATTTGTGGAACAAATATGAAACTAGTAGAGAGACGGTTTTGAAACATATAGACGATTTTGAGTGGTGCGCAATGCCGAGTTTGTGCAACTCTGAGATGGTTTTTTAAGTGAAAATTGATCGATGTGCACATGGGCAAAGCCAATGCTGTGCGCGATGCCGAGTTTGTGCAATTCTGAGATGTTTTTTTAAGTGAAAATAGATCGATGTGCACATGGGCAAAGCCAATGTAGTGCGCAATGTCGAGGTTGTGCGCGATGCCGAGTTTGTGCAATTCTGGGATGTTATTTTAAGTGAAAATAGATCGATGTGCACATGGGCAAAGCCAATGTGGTGCGCAATGCCGAGTTTGTGCAATTCTGGGATGTTTTTTGAAGTGAAAATAGATCGATGTGCACATGGGCAAGCCAATGTGGTGCACAATGCCGAGGTTGTGCGCGATGCCGAGTTTGTGCAATTCTGGGATGTTTTTTTAAGTGAAAATTGATCGATGTGCGCATGAACAAAGCCGCTGTGCGCGATGCCGAGTTTGTGCAATTCTGGGATGTTTTTTAAGTGAAAATATATCGATGTGCACATGAGCAAAGCCAGTGTGGTGCGCAATGCCGAGTTTGTGCAATTCTGGGATTTTTTAAGTGAAAATAGATCGATGTCTACATGGGCAAAGCCAATGTGGTGCGCAATGCGAGGTTGTGCGCGATGCCGAGTTTGTGCAATTCTGGGATGTTTTTTGAAGTGAAAATAGATCGATGTGTACATGGGCAAGCCAATGTGGTGTGCAATGCCGAGGTTGTGCGCGATACCGAGTTTGTGCAATTCTGGGATGTTTTTTAAATGAAAATATATCGATGTGCACATGGGCAAAACCAGTGTGGTGCGCAATGCCGAGTTTGTGCAATTCTGGGATTTTTGTAAGTGAAAATAGATCGATGTGTACATGATCAAAGCCAATGTGGTGCGCAATGCCGAGGTTGTGCGCGATGCCTAGTTTGTGCAATTCTGGGATGTTTTTTCAAGTGAAAATAGATCGATGTGCACATGGGCAAAGCCAATGTGGTGCGCGATGCCGAGTTTCTGCAATTCTGGGATGTTTTTTGAAGTGAAAATAGATCGATGTGCACATGAGCAAGCCAATGTGGTGCGCAACTCCGAGGTTCTGCGCAATGCCGAGTTTGTGCAATTCTGGGATTTTTTTTAAGTGAAAATTGATCGATCTGCACATGGGCAAAGCCGTTTCTGTGCGCGGTGTCGAGTTTGTGCAATTCTGGGATGTTTTTTAAATGAAAATAGATCGATGTGCACATGGCCAATGCCATTGTGGTGCGCAATACCGAGGGTGTGCGCGATGCCGAGTTTGTACAACTCTGGGATGTTTTTTTAAGTGAAAATAGATCGATGTGCACATGGTCAATGTCAATGTGGTGCGCATTGCCGAGTTTGAGCAAGTCTCTGATTTTTCTTTAAGTGAAAATAGATGGATGAGCACATGGACACCGAGTTTGTGGAATTCTTTGATGTTTTTTGGAGCGAATACTGATAGTCGTGTAGAAGGGAAAACGAGGTTGCGTGTGATGCCGAGCAGTAATGTAACTTTATTTATGTGCAATGTTTTAACATATCGTTTGTGTATTTTAAATTTGTATTGTTGTTTAATTGCGAAATATATTTAAGACATCATTTTTCATTTAAATTGTATTTTTTTAATTTTTTGGCTTTGATATATTTATTATGCTTTCTGACTTATGACATATATCGATTGCCCGACGATCTATCAACAGTAGCAAAAACTGTTTTAACTCTTGAAGTAACGTTTTACCTCATATTTAATACGTAGTTGTTTTGGTATCGTAATGCACTGATAATATGAGTTCATTGATAATATGTGGTGTGTGCGTATGTGAAGCATTGCTTAGGTGTTCCAAGTTTGTAGTATTTATTTATTATATTATTTTTCTTTCATTCTGAGAAATTAAATTTTTTTATTTATTAACGCGCAGAATTCTAGCATGCCTACACAGAATATGGGGTGATTGGAATTTTAGAAACTGATATGAAAGCTGTGTAATGATGTTCTATGAATAAAAATATTATTCTTTTTTGTTAATGTAAAGTTTAAATTTTTAGAAATAATGAAAAATGGTCTAATTATTGGGTATGTAAAAAGAATTATGTCGTTACGTGCAAGAAGTTAAATTGTAAAAATGATAAAATGAAATGTTCTAACAAATGAATTTAAATTAAAAAATATTTTATTTGTATAAATAAAAAAAATAATAAAAATAATAATAAAAATAAACATAATAATTTAATAAAAATCTTTGAAAAATCTTGAAGCTCTACAAGTATTAGAGGACCGACGTTTGTTTATCGTTTTAATAATTGGTAGAATTCGCACAACTGTATCGGTAATTTTAATATAAACATTTATTATACTTATGATCAGTAACGCCTAAGCTTAAATGTTATAAAAGTAAATTAAAAATAAAGAATTTGATATTAATTTAAATAATAAACATTTATTATTATTTTTAAGAGAAAATAGAAAGTACACATAGTGTAAATGCGAGACTACATTGTGACGTCATAAGCTTAGTCCCACCCATTTATGACGTCACAGAGCTCCTCCTACTGAACTTTGTTGATGCAGCCTATTCTGCGCTTTTACCCGACGTTGATTGTAGTCATATTATTTCTTGGAATTTTAATATACATCATCATACTTAAATAAGCATTATGATACTTAAAGAAATTTTAGTTTGGATCATGATACTTATCAATAACAAATAAGGAATTATTTAGAAAGCTTACCTTCTTTTGAACTTTCCATTATTCTATGCATGTATTAGTACAACTGCATCACGGATCATAAACAAATATTTCAAAATTTGTTACGATGAGTTGTTGTGTGGCTGCAAAATATTTACAAACGAAGTTTCTTAATCTCATATGGATTGTTACTTATTGATAACAGCCACTTTTTGTGAAGATTGATTCGATGAAAATTATGCGATATTGTAAGTGGCTGTAACAAACAATCCTATTTACATTTAAAATAATGCACTGAATAACTTTTCCTGGCCACCAAGAGACAACAATCTGTGTGCCAAGAAATCAAGGATCTGTGTCTGAATGCGTGGCGTTGTGAAAAGACGATGGTGTCTGGAGCTACTAAATTTAAAACACGTATAACAAGTATGTCCTATCCCCAAACGTGTGAACTCCGAAGACCGAATTTTGAATTTATTTATTTATTTATATTTTGGAGGACATAAGCAAATTTTACATTAAAAAGATTAATGAAATCAATGAATTTCCGCACGGACGTTGTTGTAATGACGCATGCGTTTTTTACGGTCTCGAGCATGTGAGATTAGAAATTTGTAGTGCCAAAAGTGTATTTAAAAAGAAGTTTGATGTGGAGTTTTTAGTAAGTTAAATGTTTCCTCATAAACATTTTTTTGTTTATTTGTGATAATTTAATAACATTATTACAAAAATATTTTTTTTTTTCAATATATAGAAACATCGGTACAATTCCGTTTCGGGGACTGTAAAAAAATCGCAGCGGAAATGCATGCGCAAAAGCACGAAATATAGCAAACTCGCCCATTAATCAGCACGCCAAATCTCGCGAACGCGCTGATTTGAAATTGCGTAATAAGTTTAGATAGTTCTATATTTGTAAGTCGCCATTGAAATACTAGTTTAATTTTTTAATGCTCTTTTTGATAACGCTACGGATTTTACAACTTGGAAAGTGCACAGTGATGAACAGTGTGCGATAGAATTTTTTCAAAAAAAGAGGCATCATTAATGATAGAAAATTGTGTTTGAACAATCATGAGGTTCATCTACTTTTGGTGTCAGGAAATGGCATATGTTGAATTTTGTGAACTCCAACTGAAGATGAACCACAATAGAGTTGTAAACTGGAACAGTTACATGCGTGAGATGTGGCAAAATTATTGAAGTAGACGAAAGCCTTTTCAGTAAAAGAAAGAATAATGTTCGGCGGATTATGCAGAGAGTCGAATGAATGTTTCTTAGTCGCTGTTCCAGATCGATCGGCGAAAAGAAAAGTGCTAAGTGGCGTAATAAACGTCATCGGGGCTCTGCTCGACAGCATTTCGATTCTTACTTGTCCCAGGTTTTGTACAGACGTTTGCACAAAAAAAACTGAAATTTTTTCTGCTATGTTGGAAGACATCAAAAATTTTATGCCACTTGTTTAATTTCAAGTATATTTAGCCTTTCCCCCCCATAAACTAAAGTAAACGGTACTATTCCGTTTTGAGGACCGTAAAAAAATTGCAGCGAAAATGTATGCGCAAAAGCGCCAAATCTAGCAAACGTGCCCTTTTAACAGCACGCCAAATCTAGCGTACAGTATTGGCATATCTTTCTAGACGATATAATGGTTAAAACGTTCGCCGCGAATATCGCGTCCTGCATGCGCGCGCGCCGTGTATCCGACAACACCAATGGACTTTAGTTGCTCATCTGGGCATGCTGCTTGTATTTCTGTGGACCCCGCGAACCTGCAATGGGTGATGACAGCCATTCCACGGCGTGCTCAAGCCTGCCTCGACCTGCACGGTGGACACTTTGAACATCTGCTTTAAATTGTGCATGTACTGCTGTTGATATGTTCAATAGAGTGTTTTTTTCTTGCACCGGCAATCATACTTTGTTTTTCGTATTTTTCTCGTAAACTATGGATCGTACAAGAACGCTTCTTTGGGCAGTTTTTATGTACCTCCAACGAGAAATCTAGCTGTGCAGAGTTTATGCGGTCGTTTTGGGACACCCTGTATAGTTCGATATTTCTTAAGACGCCATTGAAATACTAGTTTAATTTTTAAATCTCTTTTTGATATCCTATGGATTTAACAATTTGGGAGTTGCCCATGACGAAAAATCTGCAATAGAATTTTGAGCAAAGGGCAGAATCACCCACTGCTTGACGCGTTTTTAAGAATTGCACATACTCGGTATCCCTGCACACATCGACCTATTTTCACAACAACAACAACAACAACAACAACAACAACAACAACAATCATCATCATCATCATCATCATCATCATCATCATCATCATCATCCCAGAATTGCACAAAAATGGCACTGCGCACACCCTTGACTTTATCTATGTATCGACGTATTTTCAGTTAAAAAGTAAAAGAAAATTGACAAAAATCCAATTGTTTTTATCCTTGTAAAAAGCGCCAAAAAAATATGTGGGCGATTCTGCACTTTACCGAGAATTTTTTCATAGAAAAGGCATGGTTCATTATAGAAAATTATGTTTGAACAACCGACGAGATGAAATTGTGCTTTAACGATAACTCGGTAGCGAAATAGCGATGCAGGCATCCATACAGTTATGTTTATCAATTTTTATATAAATTAGAAAAAATGATATGAAATACTTATTTACTCTTATGCTTCCTGCCCACCAGCGGCTGAGCGGTAAAGTCGCTGAACACTGGTAGTTCGGTTCGAGTCCCGCGAACGGGCTGGCTGCATGGGCGTTTTCGTGGTTTTCCCCATATGTAACGTGTATACGAGCCAGTTTCCCTTAGAAAGTCCTCCACGAAGGCATCCCTCCTCTTAGGCAGATAGCCCTCGAGGCTTTGCCATAATCTCACACATACACACACTTATGCTTCCATTCAGTCATGTTTAACCTTTTTATATAAATTATAATAATAAAAAAGCATTATACGAAATTAACATTTCACCCAAATTAAAACATCAGTCTTAAATAGTTATTTACTATTATACTTCCTTTCTTGCGTTAGGGTGGCCGCAATTATTTTTGGCAGCAGTGGCATCAACAATAGTTTTGCAATTTTTTACGGCCCTCAAAACCAATTAGTGCCTAAAAAACTGTATTATATGAAATTAACCTTTCATGTAAATTAAAATAATAATCTGAAATAGTTATTTACTATTATGCTTTCATTCAGTTACATTTAGCCTTTTTTAAAATAAATTATAATAATAAAACAATACGAAATTAACTTTTAATGTAAATTAAGAAGTTTGCCAAGTGAACTATTCTTGGCGCAAACTGAAAAAAATTGTCCCAAGATAAATTTCTGGATTTCTCCGTAAATTTCGCACCAAATTGAACATTTAGGCATAATTCGAGTCGTAGAATCGAAATATGGAAAAACATTTGGTATGTTATTTCAGAAAAAGTCCGATTTTGTGTCAAAATACTTATGTTAGAACAATGCTATATATAAATCTAAGTCGCGCTTATATATAAATGTATTCTATATGTCTCGAAAGCGCGACTTAGAATATATTTATATAATGTTATATATAAATACATTCTAAGTCGCGATTTCGAGACATGAAAAACGCAATTTGAATTTTGTCAATCGGCCAGTTAGAACGGAAGATATCGAAGTTTCCTTCCCCCCCCCCAGTGTACATGAGTGTACATGAGTTCTGCTGAGTATTTATATCAGTTAAACTTTCTTAAGTTATATCTATAGGATTAAATATTTCTTATTATCTTATTATCCAAAAGATTCTGCTAGGGAGTATTTTGAAGAATGTCTCACCACAAAGTTATCTTTCTATGATGCTTTTCGTGTATTGTGCTAGAATATAGGAACAGAATTACATTTTTTTAAAATTGCCTCAGTTGATATTAATATAAAGTATTATACAGTTAGTGAGGTGTTCCTTTATGTTCATGTTTATGTAAAATGTTTATCATTTTACATTCTCAATGCGTAAAACTGAAAAAATAACAATAATAAAATTAATAATTATTTAAAAATTTTAAAAAATTCTTGTAAAGTTTAACATTTCAAAAATTGCTAGAATGTTTTTTAAGGGTTTTTACTGTCTCTCGTACTCTACCAGTGTGCTCTTGCACTCACACCTGTTAACCCCTTTTTTGTGTCTTTTTAGCTTTATTATTAAGCATCCGTTTCTTTACACTTACTCCACATACAGTTCAAAAATAAAATTATACATTTTTTTTAAAACCTCCTTAGCAGCATAGGTTTAAAATTCCAGATGCAATGTTAAATGTTGCATACATTTTCTATTTTTTTTTTTTTTTTTTTTTTTTTTTTTTTTCCAGTCTTATTTCAGTTCATCATATCAGTGTTCAGTTTTCTTAGTAACATGGCTAACAAAAAATTATTTAGTCTTTTTATTATTAACGTTTTGCGTTTTTACTTTATTTATTAAATATCACGTTCTTCGTACTTACGTCGCATGAAATTCGATGCAACAGGAAAATAACAAAATATTTAAAATAACATGTCTTTAGAATTTCCGACAGACAGTCTCCTCAACAGCTGAAGATAAAAATGTTTTGTTCCGTAAAATGTTGCCACTGCTCGCTTTCAAGTAGTTGAGATTGTTAATCGAAAATTCATTAAAGCTTTACAAAATATGAAATAAATAATAAAAAGTATATAATGTCATTCTATAAAAATACTGAATACTTTTAGGTAGACAGACCATTAATTAAATGCATTTTTTGCCCAAATGTTAATTTGGAAACAACATTTTGCGTCAATTTACTTTTCAAACTGTTGCCATCAAGTATTATCGTCATGTATTATATTTAAAGAAACTAAATAATAAAGAATATGCATGAATGCATTAATCTTTCACGCACTGTGAAAAAACAACGACATCAAATTTTGAATAACATAGTCTTCCAATCGAACATGCGCACTTGAAAGCCGGAATTTCGAATTTGTTTTATTATCTATTTAAAATTCTTTAAAACTGTAACGAAGTTTTGATTAACGAACTCAACGATTTCAAAGCGAGCAATGGCGACACTGTATGGAGGGAGGGAAAAAAAAATTATCTCCATCGCACGAGACTGTGTATCGGTAATTCTAAAGATATGCTATTCTGCTGTTTTTAAATATTTTGTGAC